AACTCTCATTATCGTATGAAGATATGCAATGATACCCTATAATTTGCTCTCAAACAGATCTGAGTTCGCCTCTACTGCAAAATGCAGTCAATCACAAAACCCTGGCAAACTTGCGTGTTACAAACAACTGAATAAAATAGTTGACACGAAATATATGATTTTTCTTTGAGAATCACATATTTCTGAAAATTGTATATAGAGGGCGCTTTCTCATAGTTTTGATTCAGCTCTTGGTTTCATTGTCCACGTTATTTTATTCTAAATATCACAATAACAAAATATCAAAGAATATTAAATTAAATCAATATTTGAGTGCAATATTGATTTTAACCTGCCATGCTTGTACTTGATTGGCTAATACAAATTTGAGTATTTCAACACTAGAGGGTGCAATAACCATGTTCTCGTACAAATGTTCACGATTAATTTCTTTCGTCGTCAATGGCTGACAACTCAAAGTCCGAAATCTGTGTATCTTGGTTATACACAACAACTAACTGACTTGATATATCACCAACAATTGCCGTCATTTTACCCTGTGGCTAGTTGTTTTCACTGGCGGATCCAGAAATTCGGTGAGGGGCTGGGTTTGTCAATTGATCTGTCACTTTTTGGCGGGCTGAAGGGGCGAATTGATGTCACGGAGCTCAGAGTTCTCTAAGGTTTATGATTTCATGGGAGGTGATTTGAAATGAGATATTGGTAGTATTACAACAAATTACGGTAGAGAAAGGCAGTCCACTAAATATAACATTACACAAAGTATTGCTACAGGTAAAAAACGTATTTTATTTAACTTGAAACTATCTTTTTTATTAAAACACTGTTACAGAGAAACATGTCGCTTAGCATGGTTGTAATTACATGACGTTATGGTGACATTCAAAGATAAGTCTTTCCTTTGTAATTACAAAATCCTGATCTAGGCGAATTTAGAAACGGTTTCAAAACTCTTCTACGATGACCCTGAAATATTGAACACGCTTTTGAACAGAAAAACTTCATCCCGCAGTCGTCATCTCCATCTTCATTGAAAGTGTCCTCATCACTTTCGTCGCTGTCATAGTGACTGTCATCCATGAAAAACATCGTTGATTTCTTATAACAATGCTCACACGGCATGACCAGCATCTCATTTCTCATCACGGGTCGAATGGTCTTGGCATGAGCCTTCTCTTCTTGTAGAGGGCGTTTCAGACGTCGTTCGCCTAATACGGGAGGAGAAGGTAGAAAACATATTACACATTGTGAACATCTTAGCGAGTTGTTGGATTTATATCGCATCGTTGGTTTAACTCACCTATATAATCTACAAATATCGATGTAGTGTAGTCGCCACCATATTCATACATCATTCGTACGCCATTTTGAAGATACTGACGTAATGCAGTATCCATTGGACCTATGTCGTCATCGACCATAAGACCATAAGTTGATGTCAGTGTCATTACGGGATCAGGGTCATCATCGGTGTCCTGGAAACAAAAGTAGAAGCACATGAAATTTAAAGCCATATTTCGATAGCCAAGTGGCGCAACGTCACAGCCTCGGCGCTATTCCAAGTAGTGGTTGATGCGAGTCGTCGCTATCAATACCCCTCCCCGATATATGATAGTTACACATTCGTTTAATACATAACACTAGATATAAACACATATCGAATCTAATTTATACCAGGCCGTAACGACCAATTTGTTTGGGGACTTGACGTTTTTTTTACCAGGGCCGTAAGCGACCAGGGTCGGAACGTTTGGAAATCTCTCATATATAGTTATTTGAAGCACAGTCCCTCAGGTGTTGAGGAACTGTGTTTGAAGACTGATATATGAAACGTATGTTGTTGTTTATCAGTGACTTGATTCATATAATAGACATACCTTTAAGTTCGTAAATACATTGGCAGCATATATATCCAAAGAACGTGCATGACCAAAACAACATTGCATCCAGGTGAATTGAAGTAATAAATCAATGTCTTCAAACGATCCATTTAATGGAACGGCCAGGTACAGTTCAAACTTCTCTGTAAAAAACAACAACAACAATTAGTGTTGTTCCGTGTTTGTCAATCGTATATACGAAGTTGTAAAAACGGATTGGCGAAGTACATCGTGTTTTTACGCTATATGTAACAGAAGCTCTGAGATAGATTTATAGAAAAGGTGCATTGGACATTGTATATTGAGTATATTAACGAGACAACATCTACTGTATTCATCCGCGATTAGTTAGTAGTAGTTAGTTAGACTTAACTATGAACGACCGCATAATAGGTAGTATGGGAAAATTTATGCTACAACCTTATACTACTGGTAGTATGCGACATACTTACCAGCCCAGTTAACACTTCGAGCATGCAATAAATAAACATCAGATGGACCATCATTGGTAAACCAACAGCTATCAAGATGAGATAACTTATCACTGTTAGGTACGCTCTGACCACACCCACCACATTTCATCAATAGCGGAACCTTCCATGGATTACCCGCTGGTTTGACTGCCATAGTAGTAACGGGAACTATGGGGACATAACATACACATTTAATTAAAATATGAAAAATGTAGTATACTAGTATATGTTTAAATCGGTAAATGCGTAATTAACACTGCTTTAATAATGACACTCCACAAGAACGACGGTAGTTTTATGATGCATGCGCACAACTTCCTGTTAATAGCGGTGACATCACTCACACTGAACGAATGGTGTCACAATAGGATACCGATGTGCCTTGCAATGCATGCAGGTAAAACTTATGATCTAAATTTTACCATCAATGCAGAGTATATCCACAGACTACTGACCTTCAATTTGATCACAGTTCTTTGTACGTTTCCCCCTGACCTTCAGTAGTCGCTTCACCAAATCGGGTTTGGAACCATTAACCGAAAGACCTTCCTTCTTAAGTTTGATTTTTAACTCTGAAACATTGAGATCTGATAACTTCAATCTATCAACCAACTCGTTCTTATTCCCACCGATTGGAAGGTGACGCTTACGTAACATTTCCTTTAGTCGTGGCAGGTTTTTATATTTGTACTTGTCGGATGCTTTCATATCTGTAAACAAAGGGCACAATGAATGACACAAGAAGGGTAAAGAGAAAGTACGGTATACCATGAGTATACGAAGATTTTGCAGTACAGAAAAGATAACAGAACCGAAATATCACCACAGACATTTTTATTTCAGATTCAATTCGTATCTTACTTCTGAACTCTGGAGTTGGCATTTCCATAATCTGTCCGGTAGCTGTTGTATATTTCTGTACTTTAATCATTCTTGTGTCTATAATAAAAATATATATGCATATGTACAATGATTATGATATAACAATCGTTTGGCATGTTCGATATTGATGGGCAAGTGTATTATATAAACAGGGAATAAAATCGGTTCTACTGCACTATCCGTATTCAAAGTTTGTTTTTGTTGGTTAGGTTATAACGGGTTGAAGCTCTGATTATTCAGACCAATTTTATCAAAACACGATTGCCACAAATTGTTGAAATTTATATCGAAAACTAAAGATTATGAGAAACTGTAGAACTCTGTTTTAGCTGCGTACTTACCGATATGTTGTGTACGAATTCCAGGAGAATACCAATTTGTAGAATACGAGCAATAAATCTCACAGTCACGATTGTACTTGAAGTGGAAATCGGTTCTCTTTATATACCTTACATACTGGTTAGTGGCACTTGGAGTGAACGTTGTGAACCAATCATAGGTTATCCAGCCTTCCGGTGCGGACAACCAATCACATGGAACGGACAAATATTATTGTTAAGATACGTCGTGTGCTGGCGCTTTAATATGGCAAAATATCCAACACCTACCGCAGGATGGCGTGCTTCACACGTGAATATGTTCCGGATAATCAGTGAATGAAAGACTTTGCAACCAGACAACACAGTGGCAATGACATTTTTCTCGAAAATTGACGAAATACAATGAAATGAAAACTTACTATTTATGAAATGCTCGCTTGTTTCCACGAGTAGTAGAAGTAATTATTAGTTGATTGAATAAAATAGTTAGTTCAAAAAATAGGTTCAACATACATGTACAAAATTGAGACATATAACACGTAATTTAATATTTCGATACCAGACACAAGTTCTACAATTTATATAACCGACATTGACATTTGAGGAAAATCTGTAGACGCATATTATTGTGGCTTTTTCTGTGAGTAATTCAAACGATTTCATTTAATTCAATACAGTCAACTTCGTGAACGCCTAACTGTAGATGAAACATTCTTTCTATTTTTGATCAACAATCATCGAATAGTTTTAACTAATCAAATAATACAGAGAAACATAGTACCAATTCATACTACATTGTAACATTTAGGGAAAATTGTCATCATTTAAGAGCACCTGCTAAAATTGACGTTTTAGCTGCTCTGTCTAACGGCGTCAATTGTACTTCAGACTAGTAATACAATTGTATTACTAGTTTGAGATTATACGCAATAATTTCATTAATTCGGATACTTAAAGATGACTCTTCATTTCTCGATGAAAAACACAGAAAGGTTACGCAGAAAGCAAAGATTATAAACACATCTTATACATGTATTTCAACACTAAAAAGGCAGTAAACTAATCGGTGTCGCATGATGGCGTTGGTCAAATCTCGTCAGTGAGAACAAAATGCACAAAAAGATTAGTCTGATTGATTGTAACAGTGACAGACTGGCTATTTCCTGGATATATAATAGACCGGACATGGCGCAAAACAAGGAGGTGTCTGTGAAGACAAAGAACGAAAGGGGTGTGTTACTACATCTGTCTGTGAAGACACAAAGGACGGGAGAGGTGTGTCTCACTGCGTCTGTCTGTGAAGACAAATGACGAGAGAGGTGTGTTACCACATCTGTCTGTGAAGACAAAAGACGAGAGAGGTGTGTTACTGCGTCTGTCTGTGAAGACAAAGGACGAGAGAGGTGTGTTACTGCGTCTGTCTGTGAAGACAAAGGACAAGAGAGGTGTGTTACTACATCTGTCTGTGAAGACTCAAAAGACGAGAGAGGTGTGTTACTACATCTGTCTGTGAAGACAAAGGACGAGAGAGGTGTGTTACTACATCTGTCTGTAAAGACAAAGGACGAGAGAGGTGTGTTACTACATCTGTCTGTGAAGACAAAGAACGAAAGAGGTACATACGTTGCATCGGTAACGATAACGAGAGCTTGTACTCCATTATCTCTAGTGCCTCACATGCCACCACCACTACCGTGACTAGTGTTTTGTTTTAAGACATTTTGTCAAAGGTCCATTTCATCGAATGACAATCTTGGCAACAATTAATTATTCAAATAACATCGAATGTGGTATAAATTGCAGACAATAATGCTTGCCATTGTCAATTCTGATTCACTCTTGATTACGACAAAAGTTTGTTTGTTCTTGAATGTTGATTTTGACATGCATTAATTGATATTAAATGGCGCTTTATTCCTGAGTCAATTCACACATTCGTAGGTACTCACTGTCTTTAAACAATGCAATTCCACACGACAAACTTCCTGTCTCCATCGAGTACTTGTGACAAGAAGTAACCCAACCCCTCCAGACTTTTAATTTTAGTCAACAATCACCCGATTTCTTAATTTTAATCAGTACAATTACTAAGAAAAGTGATCAATGTTACAGAGCATCATACATATATCAGAAAACTAAAAACTAAATTTGAAAAAAAATGTAAACAGATTTTAGACAATGATAACAAAGGACTTTGGCTGTCAAAAATACTCATCACAGGTCATCAATGACAAAATTGAGGATTAGTGCTCACAGACTACAAATAGAGACTGGGAGATATAATAACACAAATATATCTGACAGAAAATGTCTATGTTGTGAAAATATAGAAGAACATTTTCTTTTAACTGTGATCTTTAAGCGGGAAAAAGAAAAAAAACTTTATTAGCTGTTATCACCCCCACATTTAGCAAAAGATAAAGAAAAACTAAAATATATTTTAAATAATAAAGATGAGAAAACAATAATACAAGTAGCAAAATACATAGAGAACTGTTTCAAAATAAGAGAGGAAAAACTGAAAACAATATAGTCAGCTATCTCAAGATAAGGTCATTCACCAACCCAAATATGGAAAACAATCCAATTTACAAACACATTTTCGACTTAATTGGCAGTGAATCAGCAGCCACAGAACCCCGATACAGTACTGCTACGTAAGGTCAAATGAACTGTGTCCAAGTTATTGGGAAACATATTCGTTCTCTGTCGACAGAGAAGTCAGTAAACAGTCATGTAGATCACTTGTTCTTGTCAGGGCACGTTACACAAATCACAGAGGAACTGTGAACGAATTCATTAAAGACTTTACACACCGACCAAGTGATTGACAGCGCGCGTAGCCAATCAATGATCTAGTATGTTTTTACTGGCTGTAATTCTCACTGCAAATCTCAAAACAGCTGGCATGGCATGGGCTGTTTCCTTTTAGCAGTCACAGTGTACACTATAGCATTTTTAGACTATTTTAATATTACAAGCACGGTGTATTTATAAGTAATACATGCATGATGCTTGTAACGTACAGGGTTTAAGAAAATTAAAGCGGGAGGGTCGTCACCTGCGCACGCGTGGGAATTGAGTCTCAAGCGACGATAACACCACGCTGAAAACGCAAAGGCTCATTGATAGTCGCTTGTTTGTGAATAATGACACGCTATGGCCATCTGACGCATGCGCAAGTGACGACTCTCCCGCTTTAATGTAAATAAATGAACGAATAAACCTTGCATGTCATCGGGGAGGTTAAAATCTCAGAGTTTAAATTAAAGACACCAGTAGTCTTTGGTTTAAAAGTGGTAGAGTCGGATCAGTCTTTATAAAGTTGATTAAAAGTGACAAAAACATAGACATTGTTTTTTTTTTTCATTTGACGTCTTGCAACAAGAGAATGTACAATTATTACCACCCAGGTCATTTACACTGATCATTTTTACCTGAAAGTCGTAAAGCAGGCTTGAGTCTGGTTCTCGAGTGGCCAGTGTCTGTGTAACTAAATATAAACAGGCCGTGCTTGCAATAAACGCCCGAGTTATCAGTAAATAAATACGTCATACTTGTAACCACGAGTTAAAAAGAGAAGCATATAACTATATATAATGGCATGATCTCAATCGATTAGACATAGTGAAATATTTGTCTGACCGAAACTCCCGCGGTCGAAATTTCCTACATTCGCATGCATGCAAGGGTTGAATATATTGTGAAAAATGTCATTTCTCCCGATTCATATACTAGGTTTTTTTATAATTAAAACGAGTGTATTTAATTGAAACTCTAGGGGTGTTTTTTCCGGCAGACGTTTTATCTGGGGACGTTTTGTTCTACACTAACTCT